GATTCCAAAAGCTAACTTGCGTCACTATTAAGTTAGAATTACATCACTGAAGTGATAATATAGATTTTATGTGTCAAACTCAAGGCTGGGGGGCCAAATCCGGGCCACCATAAGTATTTATGTGGCCCTACAGACTCTAGAAAGCCACATGAATAGAACCTTCAATATAAAGTTGTGTTTTTTAATATCTATATGCTGCCAAAAACATCATGAAAAGACGGATCCAAAGAATGCAGAGGCAACTATTTATTAATATTAAATCAGATTGTTAATTAGTTAGTTTTATAAATATAGAACCGGTCCTTAAGGACATTTGTGGTCTTGACATGGCCCAAAGTAAAAATGAGTCTGTCTATTGATAGATTTAGCATGGAAACAATCTAAACATCCAGTGTTTTCCTTTACCGTAATTGTTTTATATGTTCTATGGTTTAGTGGGCACAAAAAACACAAACCTAAACCTGTGAACCTTTAAATACTAGGAGTCTTGAATACTGGATAAGAAACACATGGCTGATTGGAACTGGTTGCAGGTGCGAAGAAAGAGAAGGAAGCAAACAGGCCGGCTGAGGGAACGAGACGAATAAACATGAAGGAAGTGAGAAGAAAATAAATAATAATCACGGGGAAATACTAAAGAAAAGTCCGAATTAACAGCACAGTGAACCAATAGGAGATCTCGGTCGAGCAAAAAAGAAAAAAAAAAAAAAGAAATAAACAACCCAAGCACCCCTAGGATAATGGCTGTTACTGACAAACATAAAGAAAGACTAAAAGGGATGTGATTATTTTAGTAAGACACTGTAAAGACCTAGCTTCATCTCAGTGAACTCGCCTAATTCCTGCATCCTACGATCCACATTCCTCTCCCGTCTTTGCGGTTTCTATCGCAAGATCAGCTTTCCATGAAGCTGAAACAAACCCACCTTGACCTGTTCCCTAAGGTGCGGCTGACGCAGCACAACGAGAGGAAGTGCACACGGAGGGAAGACTAACACGACGAGGACGGAGGACAAAGTACAGTGGATGCACAGGAGGAAAGTGATGGCCTTTCCTGTGCCTGCTCAGGGAGAAGATAGGCCTTGCTTTGTTAAATGATTTCTTCCAGCTGAACTCTTCTCCCAATATCAGCCAGAAAGAGATCGTGGAGAGAAAACAAAGATTGCATGTACACCCAGAGTTGCCTGGGTCACCTTGGCATTCGACTCGCAGCGTAAATCGATTCATTTATTGCCATCCCAGTAACCATTCAGGTTAACCTTGTCACTGTAGGTGCTGTGACGAGCCCAAGTTACAGTCACAACCCCACTCTGAGTAGTCTTTGCATTTTTCTGAATTTACCTCAATATTTTACAGCTTTATAGAAAAATAAATCAGTGAAAAGTCCGTTTGAATCATTTAGTTTGTCTCTTTGACAGATGTGGAGAGCATCTGTAGTGAAAATCAGAATTATTCACTTGATGTTTGGTGTCTTTTTTCGCAAACCTGTGTTTGCATATACATTTCCTCTTTAAGATGATTGTTTTGGCGAGGGAGGCAAAAAGATAGATTCTATTGACATTAGCTATGAGTCGATTTGCTGTACTGATGTTTATCAGGGTTTTAAAACAGTATACAGGTAGTTAACTGCTAAATATCACAAAGTTCCCATGGTTTCAAATCAATTTAATGAAGTGCCAGACAAAGTGCAAGAGTTTTCTTTGGTTGTTAAAAGCAGCGAATAAAACCGCTGACCCCAACATCGGCACCTGTGCACTGCCAATAAGCTGGCTGAAGAAAGGCTACCATCTGTCTGGAGAAAAACAGATGTAATGGTGATGAAACTAAAAGAGCTACACAACAAGACACACTTGTCAAGGTCTGGAGGACTTTGAATTTGGTTTGTCACCTTAACTTAACAATCCAACCTGTGTTATTTTTGTGATTCTGTGTGTGTTTTGCATTCTCTGCACTTTACTGTTCAGTCATGTTCTGTTGAATTATTGTTTTCTAGCTTTCATTCAGCTCTCTGTTTCAATTGTTTCAGCTTCTAGATTCTTTTACCCTGACTTCTGTTTGTTAGCCACCGGACCTATTTGTTCAATGTTCACCGCCTGATGCTGCGTTCCTGAACGCAGCATCCTGTGTGTGTGCTGACAAATGCCGCTTTTTAAGTGGTGTGTGAGCCGTTTCCCACCCAACTCGATGATTTTCTCAGTGGAGACAAACGGTAAATTACTATCCTCTCTCATTGGTTCCCTTCAATTTTTTCCTGCCTTTTCCTCCCTCACTGCTGCAGTGGTTTCAGTGAATCCACCTTCTCACATCCACATCAACTTATGCCTAAACATCGCTGTCAGAGACAGAGTACGTCACCCCGACTCGGAGCTGCCATGTGTCACTCTGTGACCATGCAGCCTCCCAAGAGAGTTTACCAACATCTCTGTGTGCGTAATTTATGTATCGCCCAGTGCTAATGCAACAAGAGCAGCAACTCAAATCTTGGACTGTGTCCACCATCATCTTCAGAGTAAGCCAGATTCCCCTATGTTCATCCTTGGAGATGTTAATCACTGCAGTTAAAACAAGTTTCTGCCTGGTTTTTCCAGTACATCTTAGATAAATGTTATGGCAATATTAAAGAAGGATATTCTGCTAGAACTAGACCACCTCTTGGTAATTCTGATCATAATTACCAATTCTCAGCATATCTGTCCTTTTTTTTTTAAGTCAAATAAGCCTGAGCTCCTCCATATTAAAAGTGAAATAAATACTTTACATAACATAATTTCAATATAATCAATATGCTATTACATTCCAGCAATTTCATCTACTAAACCCTATTAAACCATATTTGGTTGTTATGTGGAGAACAAATAGGAAGCTTACTATACCTGTCACGCAGTGTCTGCAGGAATTATAAGAACCTGAACCTTTAACATAACTTAATGCAACAGATATTAACAAAAAACAAATAACAAATAACTCAGCAATTCATTAGATATTCCGAGCAGAAACGTACTTCTTGTGCTGTACACATTTGTTAGCAGTACTTCCCTCTACCGCTAGATGGAGGTGTGATACTGCCACAACATCCAGCTAATTTCTGACCCATTACAGAAGGTCCCCTTACAGAGCTGGGGCAAACTGTAAGATCAAGGAGGAGTAAGTTATATAAATAGTCCATCCATGAAAGTTTCCTGTTTGATTCATCCAAAACAGCTAAAGAAAACTGGTTAAATTCTGGACTGGAAGCATAAATATTAATTAGGGAGTGAATTTTTAGCTTGTTTTTCCTCCTATTATCAATATCAACTTTAACCTCACTTTCTAGGGTTGTTTCTACCCCAGTCCTATTTATAGGACCAAATATGGTACTATATTTGGTTAGTGGTTAAATATTCGACAGACAACATCTGCAACATCTGTTTTCAGTGATTAACCATTCAGTTAAGACCCAAACTATTCATACCCTTGAAAAGCTTCAAGGGTATGAATATATTAACCTTTTGGAGTCGACCAGCCAGAGTCCTGTCTTGAATCTGACAGAAAATCTGTGGAGAAAATGAAAGATTAGGGTGATGGGAAGGTGGCGTTCCATACTCAAGAACGCGTGTCAATCAAGGTAGACAGTGGCGACAGAAGTTCACCCTGCAATCGGCGGGTCGCTGGCTCGATTCCCACTCTGCCCTCCTCTGTCGTTGTGTCCTTGAGTAAGACACCCACTTAGCCTGGTGTTGGTCAGTCAAGCAGTTTGTCATCATCTGGCATGTCTGCATGTGAATGGAAATGACATATTTCATGTGAAACATCTTCAAGAGTCCTAGCAAAGCGCCATGCAAGTCTGATTTCATTTCAAGGACATCACCAAAGCTAAATCATCTAAATACCTGATTCTGCTGTTACATTGTGCTTACATGTACAGCATGTAAGACCATGCAATATTAAATCTAAATCCGCCGGGATTGATTAATATTAAACAGCACATAAACATAGGTGACAAAACATGCCTGTATGTTTCATGTTAACAGTTATCAAAATAGAAATATCCTGCCTAACGTATACTACTCATTTAGTTTTATGATTAAGTATTGCCACTATACTATCAAATATGTTGGGTGATAAATAGTTGTTCCCAAATAGTTGACTTAAAACATAGTAAGTCTACATCAGTATGACAAAATTGTTTGTAATCAGTATGTCTAAATGGAGAAATTGAATTTAAACACAATATTTTAAACAGTGATCTCAGACAAACAAACAAAAAGCATTGGTATGCATTAAAATGAACATTCAAATCCTTGATGAGGTGTCAAAATACTTTAAAAAGAAAATTGTTTGACCATGGCTATATTGCTATTTGGATCGATGCTAATTAATAGCCACAGTAAGCATATCAGAAGACCTTTAGCTAAGTTAAGGGGTAAGTTTTGTGATGCAACGGGTGAAATGACATTCAGGTTTACGGTGGAGTTTAACTAAACGGCAAATTAGTTGAGTTATGAATGCTTTTTGTTAAGCAACTTTGGGCATTCAGGTCAAACTACTCTGTCAATAAAGAGATTATCATCGTTGCTAACAAAGTGCATTTGCTCTTCAATAAAGAAAACTACATTACAGTCCTTGGATATCCAGATCAATGGGGACCCAATTGGGCATTTTTAGGAGCCATGTTGATAAAATCAGCAAAACTATAAGATCAAATATAAACTGTCTAATAAACATTATTAGAAATTGTTTAACACTTCACTGTGCAGAGATGTTTTTGAATTCAATGATCCTCTCATTTTTCCTATGAAGCTACTGTCTGGTCTCAGACAGTAGGTCAAACTATACTCAAACTATTAGGAAGTCTCTATAATCAGGTTTTAAAGGTTTTATATCAAAAGCCAATCAGATTCCATTGTTGTCACATTTTGGCTATATTTGACACTTTGGACTTTCCCAATTTTATAAATTGTAATCTATAAAAATAGATTTTTAAGTGTTTAGGTAGACTTGCACCTACACCATTAAGGGTTTGCATACAGAGACTGCAGGGCAAGAGCGGATCTACTAGATGGAAATTGTAAGGATCCCTTTCAAAGAACCACTTTTGCTCAAAGTGCTCTTGTCCATGAGAGGATCTGCAGTTTGAGCTCACTTCCTGTTGATTTAAAGTCTGTAACCAGTTTTAGTATGCAAAAAAAAAAACAAAAAAACAACAAAACTCTGGTTATGTCAAAAACAGAACTGTATCCATTTTTGATGTTTTATGATTCACTGTTTGTTTGTAGATGTTGTCAACATTATGTTGTGCTATTTTAGACGATTATCGCTTCAATTTTAAGAGGTACTGTGTAAAAGTCCATCTAGGGACAAGTGCTGCGAATTAGCTGTTGCTATTGCACTATGACGCAAACATGGGACTGCTGTTCTGCTCAGTTTGTCCATGTCGACGTGTGTCTGTCCCTATCAAATAAACTTAATAATAATAAACCAACATAGACCTTTTCATCATTACGCTCGATCAATCTGTTTAGCTGAGCTGGCTCCATAACGCGATTTCTCATTGACAGATGACATGTCTGGAGCACACACCCCTCTGATACCAATATACAGGCCATTCGCACACATGTTCCTGTTCCACAATAAAAAAATAAATAAATTAGTGGGTGTGCCGCAGCATATGTCTGCTACTGGACCCTACAGTCTGAGCATTTGTCTCTCGGCCTCAGTGTACATGTGTGTGTGTGTGTGTGCAATAAATTTGTGGAATGGCATATGCTAGGAAAATACATGTGTCAGCAATCGCTGGGCGTGCACTGACATATGTCGACGCGTAGCCTTCTGTGTTTACACGTACTGTTTTCTCTGAGCAAGCCTGCGTTTGTATGAATTTGCTCATGGAGAGTGCCCAGTAATCCATACTGGGCAGCTGCGCTCATTTATATTCAGCCCCAAGGCACTTTCTTGGGCCGTCTCGCTGATTAGGGATCAGAGACGGAGGGAAGGAGTGAAAACAGTGGACACCGTGGAAGACAAAGATGGAGAGATGGGGGGGGGGGGGGGGGGCAAAAAACAGAAGTCCCCCCTCCTTTTTTAAACAGTTTGTTAATGTCTTTAATCCCATTAGGCAGGGGGAGAAGCCTGGCCCTTCACATAACATGCAGTAATGCAGGGTTGCAGTGTGCTATCCATTTTTCTCTCTCTCTCTCTTACACACACACACAAACATACACTCTGCTACACCCAGGAAATGAAATTGATTTGCCCTCATAAACATTTGATAAAGCTCTAATGCAGCGCCGCGAACAGCCAAGAAGGCCCGAGGAGCGGACCCGCGCAAAATGACATGCAAATCAAATGAGCGTCGTATATTTCCCGGCATAATTTGCCAACAATTATTGTTTTGACCCGGCTCCTCAGTCGACAAAAGAAACCTGCTCCCTCTGAGGAGCAGGAAATCAGCTTTTCAAGTGCTCTTGTGTTTGAAGAGCGGAGAGCAAGGCGAGGCGTGTTTGCCAGAGCTCCGCGGAGGAAATCAGGCGCAGGGTGATTTCATACAAGACGCGAAATCACAGCAAAGGCCACGGCCACTTTGTTCGCCTTCGCGTGCAACGCGCTTAAAAAGAGCCGCACTCGATTCAGCGTTTCCTCAGACGGAGAAAGAAACGTTGATAAAAGCTGTTTTAATTCGGGGCTTGAAAACAGCTAGTACGTGTTTCACTTTATTTACGTGCGGCGAAATAGAAGCGCCCGTGGCAGAAACGGTAAACATTATTCACAGTAGGAACATAAACGTGCATGGGGAATACAATAGCATCAGCGTGCAAGAGAGGAAGCACTGAAGCAGCTGCACTTCTCTTCTGCAATTATAAGCTTATTTTGAGGGACAATTGATAATAAAAACTTCAACCCAAGTATGCCTCTGACGTTATTGGACGCTTATTTGACTTTCTGCCACTTTAGAACTACATTCTTCTATTCACTCATGTCTTATAAATGAATGTTTTATGCTTGTTTGTTCGCCAGTGATTATCCTGCATTTTTAGTTCTCGAGTGTGTTTCTTTGCCTAGTTTACACAATGCATGTGTCGTTTCTAGACATTTTCAACCACTGTCTAAATTCAAGCTTATTTAATCACACTCACCTGTTCCAGATCCATTGGATATGTTGTCAGTTCACATCCTCCGCTATAAAGTTTCCCTGCCATAGTTCTTGTTGCTGCCTTGTATGTTTCTTTCTTTTTGTTTGGATACGATCCTTTGTTCACTATGTTTCTTGCAGTTTTTTTTTTCCAACTCAAACCACATCTACAACTACTTTTCACATGATTCTGCCTGCCTCATGCTTGTGTGGGTTTCTGATAACATCTTCTCCCCATGCATACCAGTGGGTTCTTTCCAGGTTCAAAGTCCAAAGATGTGCATTTAGGAGGGAGATGGTTGCTTTTTTTGTGCTTCCATAAATAGGATATGAGTTTTGTAAATCTAGAATGGTAGCCTATAGAAAACTCCAGATAAATTTGATCACAATAAGATTTTGAACTAAAGATGGTCGTGGGGAGCTAATTTTCCGTAAGAAGATCAAAGAATATCCCTTTGTCAGCTTCCGTACCTTTATAGTGTAACTGACTTAACTAATTTTTGGGGGCCAAAGGGCCATGATGGCTGGGACAGTGAGTCAAATCTACCATATTAAAAGCTGCAACTGATGGCATGTGATGAAGGCTTTCCTATGTATTTAGTTTAGGATCAATAAATCATTTAAGAAAATTCAGTGTTACAAATTATATCTGTGAATGTAACCTAGTAGATTTTGTATGTTGTACTTTAAGCGTATGGGGATAAATTATCAAATTTTTCTCCTTGCTTTCCACCACTCTTGATTTGTCTTGGATTTTATAAGCCGTACATTTGTCTAATTCATTAATTTGTTGGTTTTTCGGTTTCTTTCAACAGTTCACTTAGTACAAATAGGATAATTTATGCGGTCTCTCATCCCTGAATAAACAGTGAAGCAGAGATTTCATTTTATGAAAACTGCTCCAAGACACTTAAAAGTGGGATTAGTGTAAGGGTGAAGTCATTCATTGCTGTACTTGATTAATTATCCCTGCGCTTTTGTTGGTAAGCCATGTCAGGAAACCTGCTAGCAAAAAAACGATATATAAATATATTGGCTGGCATCCTAAACCTGCGTGCTTGTACCAGTAACCGTGGAAAAGTAAAATCGCATACACACTTACCTACTGCACCCGCCTAACACAAACATCCACATTAGTACAATTCACACCATGCCGCATATAAATTCTGATTGACACAGTTTTCGACCAATGGTGTCTTGACTTTTAACAACCGTTGTCCAATCAAAACAGAGCCTAGAATGACTCTCCCGCCTCTAAAGTGGGAGCTGAAAAGGAACGTCATTTGCCTCGTACATTTAGCTTTAGCCTCAAATTAGCTTGACTTTTAAATCATAAATGTATTCTCTCAAGTAGAGCCGCTCTTTCGCTTAGCCGTCAATCTCGGACAGCGTTAACAATTCGCCCTCTTTGTGTTTACGACAGGAAACATGTATATAAAGGCCTTATTTCGATGCAGGGACATGCTAAAGGGAGAATTCTTCGTGTGAAATGCTGGCTAGCCTTCGAGCAGGGGCCAAAAACCGAAAGTGGCTAACAGCACCGAGGGTTAAGTCATCACCAGCAAGCCTGTGGGCTTTCTCACATCTGCCGTAGGCACCCGAAGGTGGACAGACTGAAACGGTGCCTTTCCTACAACGTAAGTATCGCCTCGTTCCGACACCCAACAATGTTATGGCACTTGGCTAATCACCAGCTAACATGTAACATAAGACACTTTTGACAGCTGTGAAGTTCGCTAGCTGGTTATCCTTTAATGCAAGTGGCCTAAGATTTAGTGAAGCAGGCACTTTATAAACAACGCTGTGTAGAACTACTAAAGATGTGTATTTGTGTGTCTTTTAAAAAGTACTTGCTCAGTTCCCTGTTGGTTTGGTTTGAGGCTCAAAAGCTGTTTTCATAACATTCATCAGCACCAATTATGAGCTGCTGGCGTTCTTATTGCACATGGGGGCAACTATTGGTAAATATTTTTGGTAGGGTTGATAATTGTTATATTCCTTCCCATAAAAAGGTAAATAAAGTTGTTTAATTTTAATACGTATTTTAATGTCTAACATTAGGCTTAGTGTTTGCAACAGGTGTCCTTCATTGAGCTAGTTACTAATATATATTCCTGTTAGTTTTGTTTTGACCTATAGTTCAACATTAAAGTATAAAAGACTGTAGTTTTTACCACAGGAGTGTATATAATCACTCCATTGTTTAATTAAGTATTCATATGTCCATTCCTATAATTGAATGGGACTTTTCTAGTACATGCATTTGATTTATTGGCATGTTGCATTGTTTTTGTTTTTTTTAATGAGGATGTGTCCCAGAAATGGAGGCATCATTAGTGGCATGTTTGTGTTTGCAACCCTATGTACAATCCTGGACCAGCCAGGCAGTTTTGGCATCCAGCTGTTTTGAGCCTATTGGCTTGTTTAGAAGATTTATTTATCCATGCTTGATTATGTTGGGAATCACCTCAGAATAGTTATATTGGCAACATTTTTTGAAAAGATCAGCTGTGTGAGTTAAAAATTGAGCAGGCTACTTAAAAAAAATAAAGAAAAGAAAAAATGGCAAATTTCTGGCCTGCTAGTGCTATACCGCTCCATTTACTTTGGAACCTATGACGCAAAGTCAAAATAATATTAAGTCTTAATTTGATAGAGATAAAACTGATTAATGTGTCTATTTATCTTACGGTAGTCTTTAGAATGAGTGCTATTTAATTGACTTTTTATGATCAGTAATTCAGTTAAAAAGTCCTAAGTAATTGTTATACAATGTGTGAAGTAAAGATTGAGACTGTTAAAAAGTAAAGGGACTATTTTGGATTCTTTGTCACTGTAAATGTATACATGAATTCTAATATTCAGCTACATTATTTGCAGTTTTGTTGGAAAGTGGATCTTGGCTGGACTAATTAAGCATCTTCACACACGTTAGAGCAGTTAATATTAGAATATAGTTGCTTATCGATGTTTGGATATTTAAAATGACATGTGCACAGTCAAGTAAATCAAAACAGTTTTGTCTGCCCAAGCATTGAACCCTGGTAATGTCAACAACAACAATAATAATAACAATAGTAATAATAATGATGATGTTCTGGGTATGCTTACATTATAAATAGATCTTCTTAAAATTGCAACCCAATTTGCAAATAAGCTGATTTTTGTGCAGAAATTGTAGCTCGTAGCATAATCTGCAAAAAACCTGATTGTATCATAAATGTCCTGTTTTGTGAAAATGCAACAACACCAACACATTAACTAACTTGTGTTTATATATGTTTTGGGTTCATTTTATTGTTTCTTTATGCAATTGTCTGAATCGCTGGCATGGTTTGGTTGACATTGTGCCTTTGCTAGGGAACAAAATAGTCGTTCTTATTGCACAAAATATGAATCCTTTTTGTTTTATTTAGAATAACGAAAATACAACAAGCTGGTTAATTAGGCTATCAGCATTTCTAGCAAATCTCCAAATGATTGCTTAACAAACACGCTGACCGTAACTTGCAAAGTTTAGCTTTAAAGCCATGTTGGTTCAATAAGATTGAGTAGCGGCACTCCTTTACTTTGAGCATCAAGACTGTACAGGTTTTTAACGACCAGAAATATTTTCTACCAACCAAATTTGTCTTGTAAGCGAGGAAAAGGTATACTACTTTTTTTTTTTTTTTCAGTCAGCTGACGCCCGACGGACATGCGCAGATGCTGTGGTTTTATAATGCTAACTTTTTAAAACCTTCCCATACCGTCATACAGATAACAGGCCTGTGCCTCTTCCAGAGATATTTATCTATCTATGCTTGGCTACGCCTGTCATCTGAATTGCATCACATGCGGCTCCACATTAAGGTGTTCTGTTGACTGGAATCCTCGAAATAGCTCGAGGGTTTTCCCATCGAGAGGGAGAGATGGATTACATTATATACATGTTCTAATAACACTGCTTACAATTTGAGTTTGGTTATTGTATAAGTACTTTTCATCTATTAGTACGTTTTATCCCACAGGAATTTAGTTAACTCCTAAAACCATTTGTCATGTGGTGTGCCCTCTTTTCCCTCAGTCTCATCAGATCTTAACTTTTGACGCCTGGAAGATAAATTTGGAGCTGGGCAGCTTGTGGATCGAGAAAGAGCAGGTACATACAAGCACAGATGCCCTCTTTACTGCCAAGAAACCACTTACAGTCTACTATATCAAGACACATTTACTTCCCTGCTCTTCAGCTACGGTCCGATAGACTCCTGTCTGGTCCAGTAACAACTCCATAACCTCAGACGCCACTATAATGATGTGGAGCTTTCGTTCCTGGAAATTGACAATTTTTGGAATGACTTGCGTGATGATCATCGAAGAGTTTTCACCTCTACATTTTTTATTTTAAACAACAAAAACAAACCACAATTGTAATCTGTAGTATCACTGCAGTTGTCCTGCTAAACCAGCTAGTCCAGAAACATTTTAGTTTCTCACTGTATGGGAAGCGGATGTATATAATGGATGCCTAATCAGCAGAAAGATAAGCTCTTGTCTCAAATGCAATATAAGTGTGTATCTAGAAATGGATTATTTCACAATTGGCTGTATTGGCTATATTGACTTTGTTTCAACTCCATAAAGAAGTCGGCTAAGAAACACTGGGCTGATTATATATTAATAACACCATAACTGTAATATTGATTCACACACTTGACATTTTTCTCATTGGAAGTGTTCTGAAAAGTTTTACCATTCAATCACTAACAGAATAATAAGTCACCCAAGAATATTTTTCAGGTTTTGTAAAATCAGACATTTTTTATTATTATAGTAAACACGACTGGCTTTTTCCACTGCGACCCTTAGTTTCTCCAAGCGTTTTATTTAGCGAAGCTGAATACACAGATCACAATCGGTGTTGAGATGGACGTTGAAGTGCTGAATTTGGTGAAATAAAATGCATATGAGGGCTGCATGGTAGCCCAGTTCTTGGTACTGTTTCCTGACAGCAAGAAACTCATTGATTCAGTTGTTTCACATTCTCCCTATGGGTGCTTACTGGGAACTCCAATTTTGAAATATTGTTGGATGGGATAAGCATCTCTAAATTGCTCTTAAGGTATTAGTATATACTTGTATGTGTCTCTATGCTACCCTTTGATGGACTGGCAACCCGTCCAGAGATGGGCACCAGCTAATTGGATGATAATTGGATATCTTTTACTGTTGCAGGACTTGAATATTTTAATTTCAGTATCTTTACCAGTCAGTTTAACATATTTCATTGGCTGTAAGAAAGACCACAGCTTCATTCTTTAGATCATTGGATAAAATACAGCAGAGTGGCATGCAAGGTTTTATAAAGATATGAAGCTCTTTAAATAATGTGCTATATAAATAAAATTACCTTTACCTCTTTATGAAAATTTGCACATCTACAAAATCTTGGATTATGCCATTAGATTACCAAAGTCTAGTAATAGTGAGAAGTCACAGAGAGCTACTGTAGATTGTCACTTTTGAAATGTTTGATTATATGTGTGAACCACTAAACATGTAGACTAGGTGCTAAGAAGGAGCTTCTTTTCTGTCTGTATAAAAGAGGCTCTAGGAAAAAGACTGGCTTGATTCTGACTGAGACTTTTAGAAGTATTTAATAAACATTATTAATATAGCAACTGTCAGCAATAATTCACAAAGACGGAGCTTAAAAATAGAAACATGACCGAAAAGGCAGAAATCATAATTATATACAAATAAAGTCATATTTAAAATCTTAAGGAATGGCACACTTAAATTAAAATGTCTTCAGTTCATTTCTAAATAAGTTGTGACTCTCAAGACAACATGGGAACTGAAGAAGCTTCCTCCACAGCTGTGGGGCAACAATCTGGAAAGTGAGTGGTTTTTATATTGTATCCTGGGGGCTATAAATATGTTCCTGGACTCATTTCTATTTAGATATCATGAATGATATCTATATTTTGCACAATGCTGGTATTTAGATTTTTATTTCCACTTATAATAAACATTAAGGGACATTCATGTAACAAAACTATGCACTGTGTGGCCCAGATTACACTGCATAGGGATTAGAACTGAAGAATAAAACCAGACTAGAGAAATAACTTTTTAACTTGGTAGCTCTAAAGGAGGGTTGCAAAATGTGGAAACTTGGCGTTCATAATTCTAGTGTTTTTTTTTATTTTTTAAACTTACTTCCTATCAGTAGTTTGTTGATAAACAGTTAAAATAGAAGTTAATGGAGATCTTTTGCTACCGATGCTCTCAGACAGACGTCTGTGTTGGACAGGATAATCTGGCCCTGTGTGGAGCCCATCAGCAGCTGAAGGGTAAATTGAGTTAACTTGTTAAAGCTGTCCTGCTCCTCTGAAGTCTGAGAACAGAGGTTGTGGTGCTGCCGAGCCAGTCCGTTGGCCACCTTTCAAACGGAACGAACGAAAATAATTTCGTGGCATAATTAAATTCAAACGGGGTCGGTTTTTTATCTTTACGAGCCTTAAATACATCTGCACCCCATAAAGGAACGTGAAAGACGTGTAGAGGCACATGCACGCTCTCCTCCAGCGTTGTGGTGCTGTTCTTCTGTTTCATGACTGTCTTCACTTTCCAGAGTTTTACTGTGGATTATATG